CCAAATGAAAAACAAAAAAAGAGCAAAAAGTAAAAGCTAACGAAAAAGAAAACCTAATGCGGGCTAGTTAGCAAGCTTTTGAGTTTGCTTGCTTTCGTCTTGCTTCACCTTTTTGCTTTGATTTGTTGAAGTTTTCTTTTCGTCATTTGGCATTAGCACAGCTCTTGTTAACTCAACAACAATTTGTGCTAACGATGTCCGTAAGCTATGAAAAAAATGCCACGGAACATGGCACGTGGCCGCAGTGATCCGTAACTGTGTGTGTGGTCGGTCGATAGTGGCTAAGCCCTTGGATTGGCCACGTGTCATGCCTGCGCGATTGATTTTTGCTTCAGCTCGGCTTATTTTCCCTTTGTGTTTTATTGTTGGTATTAGTTTAATGATTTGAGTTGTTCCCTTTCTCTTTTTTTTTTTCTCTCTTTTTCTTGCAATCATAACTTGTTTGTTGTGCTGCATTCAAGTTGACTTCTGGCTAGCTGCAAAGTTAGAGACACTTTGCTTAGCTCCTAATGCGAAACGCTTGACGTTATCATTGAAGTGCAGACCTTCGTTGCTGCTGCTGCTGCTGTCTCTGCAACTGTCAATTGCTGGAAGCTGACAGACTGCCCTGACTGCCGGCATTTGCGACAGTCCGATAGTGTAGCTGCAAAAGTTGGACTGCCACAGCAGCAGCAATCGGAGCAGAATAAAACAATAGCTGCTCTATCTTAAAGCACAATACGCAATTGCATTCCTGGCTTGAAGTGTCTCTTCCTTTTTATCAATAATGTTTCTCTATGGTGAGCAACAGAAATTACTTGCAGCCATTTAAAGTGAGAGAAATGGAGCAATGATAAAACATTTTATTTTATTACATCTTAAACTTTAATTTATTTTAAGCAATTGCTTGGCTCTAAATCTAGCTTTTATTATCTATTTATTATTTTGTCTGTGCTTTAACGATTGAGCTGCAGACGTGCGCCTGGCTGTTCTCTCTGGCGACCTTAAAGCATTTCGACTTTGGGCAAAGCCAACTTATCACGCATTCGTCCAGTTATCCAATGTCTGCTGCTCGTTTGGCCTGTATTTATTTCTCTTTCCTTTTTTCTCCGTGCTCCGGGCAGCGCTTGCTCAGCAGTTGAGCGCAACTTGATGCAGGCCAATGCGGTTTTCATGCTGCCATGTGGCAAATGCGACACAAACTGGCTGCAAGCTGCTCGTTGCTTGCGTGCGACACCCGATAGACCAGAGACATGGCAGCCGTGCTCGTTTTCCTCGTTTTCTCCTTTTTTGCCTGGCTGAGCACCGGCAGAGTCCTGCTCTCGTTGCTGCTGCTCTAAAAACATTGTCACGTGGTTTTTGTATTTAGTTGCATCGCCCATTCAACGGGCACCCCGGGCAGTGTGTGTGAGCATGTGTGTGTGGGTGAGAGGCTGCCGTGGCCAGATTGCTTACCTGGCTGCCAGTCGCTGCTGTTGCCGTGCGCGGGCGACGGTTCGCCTTCACCTTGCCTGGGCTGCAGCACTGCAGAGTGGGCGGAGGGTCTTGCCTCTTGCAGCGCCCTTCGCCGAGCCAATGCAATAAATTCAACTCTACGTTTCGTGTTGCGCATTGTCAGGCGGAGCCATTGTGCTACAACTTTATTTTGCTAGTATTTGTATGCGTGCTGGCAATCGTTGCTCTTGCTCTTACAATTCTTGTTGTTGTTGTTGATGTCCCTGATATCCCTGCTGCTGCTGCTGCTGCTGCTGCTGCCTTTGTTGTTAGGGAAATTGAAATAAATGTGTGTGTAAATGCGTCAAAATGAAGTTCTGAAAATGTTCTTGCCAGTGACAAGTGTCAATTAGAAAATGTTCAATTACATTAAAGCAGACAACAACTGCCACAACAACAATAACAACAGTGCCCAGCTATAATAACAAACTACAACGGCAGCAGCTCCAACAATAGGCAGATCAAGTGGTTCTTTGGAGCAGGCAGCCACTACTTGAAGCCATTGTCATTGGAATTTTCATTGTTGTTTCTCGCTCAGCATGAAGATAAAGCACAGCCAACGGAGACAGAGACGGAGACAGAGAGAAAGAGAAAGAAGGAGGACGACTGATGGAGATTCAGATACAAAGCACAACATGACCAAGTTGCCAGATAAATGTAATTAGTCGCACTTAGAGTTGGCTGGARCACAGCTGGGGCCTGGGGAATATCGGAGAGTTGGCATGAAGTACTCTGACGTGTAATTTGCGTGGCATAAACTGGACTATTAACTAACAAAATTAAAAAAGACCTTACTAACTTACAGTTACGAAAGCAAAACGGAAGACTTGTCGAAAATGCTGAAATGAAATGAAAAAAGAAAAGAAAACCTCTTGTGGAAGAATGCCCTGATTACAAAAACTAAGCTAAGTAAATTATAAACTTTGTTAATTGACCTGAGCGCCTATTGGAATAATAATCTTGCAGATATTTATATGTGGAAAGAGACGTTGAGAGCTCTGCAGATTATCTCAAAATATATAAATATGTATATGAGAGCGGATTGTGCGAATATCAATATACCCTTGCAACTATTCAGGCCTTTGAGTAGAATTATTTGAAGTGAGCTGTAAAATTTTATAAAGTAAATTATAAGAGCGATATTTGAGGCAAGCATTTGGAACAGCGGTAATGGGAATTTGCATTTGAAACGTTGATGTGCCCTAGCTGCACTCGCTCTCTCTCTCTCTCTCTCTCTGTCTCTCTCTCTCTCTCACACATACAGACGCTATTTCCTCCTCTGTTTCATTGTTTTATAAAGTAACTTCTAGGAACGATATTTATACAGCTCATTTGGAACAGTGGCAGTGGGAAATACAAGAAATAAAATTACTCTGTGCTCTGTGCTCTGGCTAATCTCTCTCTCTCTCTCATGCTACGATAGATAGTAACAGCAAGCAGTTGTGAGACAACTCAAGTTGCTGCTTAACACTTTGGACACATATATGATAAATATAATATATGTTTATTTGTATTCAACTTAT